TTTTCTTTTCTTATTTTTTTATATTCCTTGATTTCAAAACTAAAGGTTAATGGTTTGATCTTCCTCAAAGTTTACTCAATGCTTAAGTTCTTGGTGGAAGAAAACCTAAGCCGTTTTAGTCCGAAAACTTAGTTTATTTTTTAGCTTTAAGGATTTTTTTAGAAGAAAAAAAATGAAAAGAAATAAAAGTGCAAAAAAGTCCCCGTTTTTAGTGTAAATGATTGTATTTATATGGCTAGGAGCCCCAACCAAAAAGAGGCAGTACGATCGCGTCACGCGGATATGAGAGCTGCGTGACGCACCCGTAAGTTTGACTCGTGACGCGACTTACTTTTCAATACAGTTTGCCGCGTATCCATGACAAACAGTGCAGGGCCGTTGCCACGGGCACGCGCCCGGAAAAAGGTGTCCAGTCCTGTTAGAGCGCGTGATGCAGCTAAGAAGTGCCGTCACGAATCACGCAGGTATAAGCTGCGTTGAACGCAGCCCTAAACATGGGTCAGGCTCCTTTGGGCCGGTTTTGGTTCAATTTTTTGGTTCAAACACTCTGGTTTTATCCCGTGATACTTATCCCTTGTCCTCAATATCAATCATCGGGTCAGGTGGAGGCTAAAGATACGCGTCAACCACATTGCTAGATGAATTTTTACAAGTCTTGGAACTCCCGGCTAAACAATCTATGATGCGTTGGAGGGGGAAAGGGTACGCCATACCAGATTAGATTTGGATGTCATGATCCACATGAAATTGATTGAAAAGGTCGGAGATGCTTATCGGGTAGTAGGTGATCGAGAGGACAGTTCTGACCATGAGGAAGCTGAGGCCGCAGGTGGTGCTGACATGGAGGAGGATAATCCGCCTCCTTTTGGTTCTTCTTTTGATGCAGGTACTTTCGGTGCTGGACCATCCTTTCAACGAGCGTCAAACATGTCCAATGACGAAGTCCTTGCAAGGATGATGTCTCGAATGGACATATTTGACCCACGCCTTAACGGGATGGAATCTATGATTGCAATGGAATCTATGATTGCAGACCGATTCCAATCCATCGAGATTATGCACGGGAGCCTCGATTCTCACATGGAGACACTGCAGGGCCAACTCCAAACTGTTATCCAGCTTTTACAGCCGCATCCACCTCCACCACCGAAGCCCTGATGGATTTTTGACTTTGTATTTGTTTTCTTATTTTGATTTTGTTCTCATACACTGATCATTTTGTGTTGAATTTTTATTTTTCTCTTTTATTTGACTATTATATCTTTTAGTAGTTTCTTTTCTCTTAATGTTTATTTTGGTCTTTTAGCTATGACATGTTCCAGCACCCAGCTCTATTGTATTTTTCATCTAATTGTATTTTTTTCATACAATTTTGGTAAATGTTACCCCCACTTTCTTAATGCTTTTCTTCTGGTTAATGCAAAAATTTTGGGGAAATCAGTTTCTATTTATATACATTGGGGACAATGTGTTTGTTAAATTGGGGAAGGAAATTTTAGCTAAAATTTTAATTTTGCTTAAACATGGGTTGGAATGATTAGGTTGGAATGATTATAAGCAAGCTTGAAGTTTGTCACGATTTAGTAATATGTGATGAATTTAGTTGATTCTCTATTCTAGTGTACTTAAGCTCTGAATTTGAAATTTTTGACTTAACATAATTCATTGATTTAACTATTTATTTCTAAGATTATAAATACTAATTTTTGTGAAATTTATGATATATAGACATATTTTAATCTAAAGTTATTTAAACCTTGGCATTCCTAGAATAAATTAGAAATCCCTTTGAGGCAAAATTTTAAATGCTTACATTTAAGAAGAAATGATTTAGGCATTCTTTGTTGAACTTCATATTTAGTATAGGCCACCTAAGTTAAAAATATGACTTTTACAACTAATTTTGAAGCCTATAAACCATAAAATTTTCTTGTTCACCCTCATTAAACCTAGCCATTAAACCAATTTCAAATTCCTACCCTAAGTATAAAAATGTATGATTGAAAGATTCGACTTTTAATTAAAACATAGCAACAAGAAGTATAAAAATGTATGATTGAAAGATTCGACTTTTAATTAAAACATAGCAACAAGAATGGAGAATTTTTCATTGATACTAGCAAGTGTACCAAATAAGAAAAATCAAAAGAGACACACAAAAAAGCAATCAATCAAAAGAATTCAAGTTTGGGGAATTCAAAAGGTAAGGAAGAAATTATCAAAATATTATGGAAAGACCTTGCCAAAATGTCTCTAGCTAGTGAAGAATTTCAAGACAGAAACTCCCTTCAAACAATTAAGTTTTGATTACAATGGAAGTCTGGATATTATACATTCTTTTGTACTCTTTGTCTACCTTTTATCCTTTTTCTTTGACTAAGCTAAATTTATACCCCCAAAACCCCATTACAACCCAAAATAAAGACCACCTTTTTTGATCTTTTAAAAAATCGTTGCTGGAGAAGGGATGACTAATTTTGCATATGAGAATGCTGAATTTGTACTATCAATTATCTTATTTTGAAAGGTTGAAAATTTCTTTGGATGATTCATACCCTATTTATCGTAAGTTGAATAATTATTAGTGTTGAAAATCTCTTTAACTTATATTTAATTCATTGAATGTGCTTTATTCAAAAATTGAATTCTAGCTTAAATATGAGTAGCATGGAAAACAATTGATTTATTCACATATTTACTGATTGTGATATCTTATGAGTTTATGATTAATTATCTCCAACCATGGTAAGCTAGTTTGTCAAATTATTTTTCTCATTTTTAGTTTTGTTGCTTGAGGACAAGCAATGGTTTAAGTTTGGGGAATTTTGATAGGTGTCAGTTTTATAGTATTTTTAGTATAGTTTTTAATGCTTTTTAGTAATAGTTTTTTAATTAGAATTTATAGTAAATTTTAATCACTTGATTTGTTTTAATTTCATTTTAAGTATAATTTTGTTCAAAAGCTTCCTTGAATCATACCCCGTTGATCTGAAAGAAAATTTGCATAGGTTTGGCACAAGAAAAGAAGCATACAAAGCAAAAATACTCAGTCTAAGCAACGGCCCAGCCCGTGCTAAAAGGCACTCCCAGTGCTAAAAAACTAAAGGAAAAAATCAAGTGGAGAGTCAGGACGAGACGCTATCCCGTGCCAAATGGCACGTCCGTGCCCAAAAGAAACTCAATGGCAATCCTAGCACGCCCATGACAAAAATCTATCTTGGAAGGACAGAGACAAGCACGCCTTACCCGTGCTAATGCGCACGCCCGTGCCACAAAGACTCACCTGAGTGTATTGCATAGCACGACCCGTGCTCAATCATCCAGAGTTCTAGACTTGAGCACGCCCAAGCCGTGCTATATGGCACGCCCATGCTATAAAGGCAGAGCTGACTTGAGCTAAAAAAGCAAGCAAATCTTTTTCTTACATGGGCCCGCCTCGGATATTTTCCCAAACGTGCTAAACAAGATCTAAACCTATTTAGGAAGAGAAAAGAGTCCTAACTAAGAAGAAATCCAAAGCCTAAACAGTCATGAGAAATCCAAAGCCTAAACAGTCATGATCTCCTAAAGACAGATTTTTGTATCTTAAATAGGATTCGTTTCCTAAATAGAGTCCAGATTCTACTGGCAGGAAAGTCCAATAAAAGATGAGGAGGCTATTCTTGTGAGGTATCTCGAAAATTTAGTATTCTTTCTGACATAACTTCTTCTCTCTTCTCTCTCAAAAATTTCAAGCATCTAAGATCTGTGTCAAGATTCAAGGAAGCCATTCCACATAGCTGTTACTTAGTTTTTATCTCTAAACTCTTAATCTTGTTTTTCTCTTTATTGTTCATCACTGATTATGAAGATTTATTCAAATATTACTGAGTTTTATTTAATTACTATGTCTATCTAAACTCTTATACTAGGGATTTGATGTAACTTAATTCGATTCCAATTTAGAATATTAGATCTGTTTTTCATTGTTTTTTTTATAATTTGTTATTGAACTTAAAGCTTCCAAGCAGAGTTTCTCCCCTGAATTGAATTATTTCATTAATCACTATCGGGAGAAGGGTTTTTTATATGAAAAGGTAATGAATTACTTGAGAATAATAACTTGATGCGGAAGCTATATGGTTTGACTCAAGGGGGGTTTTCATAAGTTAATGACCTTAGGTTATGAAGGTTATGAATTCACGAAACAACCATAAAATTAGTGATTTAATATTTATGTTTGATTGCACTATTGGAAGATAGGTAATTTTAGAAACTAGATTTAGAATAGCTAACAATACACGGGAAGAGCTTGTTAGTGATTTTTAGGGTTGTTTCTCCCTACTTGAATAATTAAAGAAATCGATTAACTAGACCAAATTAAAATAAATTGGATAGAATTAGTGAAAATCAAAATTCCCTAGTAGTTTAAATCATGATTTCTTTAATTTACTTTCCTTATAACAAATCTCTCTTATTGTCGTTTAAATAATAATAACAAATCTCTCTTATTGTCGTTTAAATAATAATAGGTTAACATAATTTTTCGTACAATTGCGAAAATCACTGTCAAGTTTTTGGCGCCGTTGCCAGGGATCGAACCCGGGTCGCCCGCGTGACAGGCGGGAATACTCACCACTATACTCCCAAAAACTTGATAGTGAGTTGGGTATAGTTATTTCCAATTGTATTTTGTTATTAGCCTCTATACCACTAATCAAAGTTCGTAGGATTAGAAGACACAATAATATAGGTGCTCATTGTCTAGCTAGAGCGTCCTATCGTTTTAATCGCGTCCATATTTATGACTCAGTGCCAGACTGTTTGATGAATTATTTTTCCTTGAAATAATATATAATAATTCTTCTCCTTAAAAAAAAAAAAAAAAAATAAAAAAACCTACCTATTGCCTATTCCCGATGGAGAGTCTAAATGCGCGGGAAATGTAAGAATACTAGAAATGGGGGTTACGACGATTAGGGTTATCAGCGAACTGGTTTATCTAAAGAGGGGAAATATTAAGAAAAAGCCAAAAAAAAAAAAAAAAAAAAAAAAAAAAAAAAAAAAAAAAAAGAAAATTAATGGATAGAGAGGGAAATTTGGAGGCAGGAACCATAGGAATGATAAGTCAAAGTAAAAACAACAATGCAGAAGTCCCAAATCTCACCGGTCAGCTCCACCACCTCCCTTGCTGTGTCAAATACGACGGCCCTTGTGCCGTTTCTCACTATTTCAAATCCAAGCTCACCGGTAATTCTTCTCTCTTCTCTTTCAATATTTTTAATGTTCTATTTATCTTAATTTTTTTTTTCCCATTAACTGGGTATTTATATAGGAATGGAGACTGAAGGATTGATGGTGGAGGAAGCCTATTTTAGAGGCAGGAAATTGCAGGGTGCTACCATTCCTATTCCACCTGGCTATTCCGGTATGTATTTGGATTTTTAAATGAATTTTGATAGAAGATAATTAGAATTATGTGTTTAATATAAATGTTTAAAATAATATAGTTCAAATGAATTCTATAATTTGGAACAGTTGATAAATGAAATGAACTTAATTTCTCTATTTTACCCTCATTTATGAAGAGACAGCTTTACTTGAAATGAGAGTATATTGAATTGAATTCTTGCAAATTTTCGGGTTTCAGGATGCCAAGATAGAGTTTTGAAAATTTTTCATAATGACTTCATAATTTTAAATTCATTTGATTTTATTTCATATTCATTATGTTTACAAATACAATTAAATTGTCTTCATTTTTTTAGGCTTGGTTTTTGGTGTAAAGGATAGTGAAGAAGATAATACATATTATGTGACTGGTTAATGTATGATGACTCTTGTTGAATTGTTGTTCTGCAGGCTTTGTCCTTGGGAAGAAGGGTATAAAGAAAAGAAAAGCTTGTGACTCCTCAGAAAAAAGTTCTGACTGTTGGGAGATGAATGCGACATTTGAAAATATAACATATTGGAATCATGACAGCCTACCTTCACATAATGATACTTTTTTGCGTTCCTTTCATTGGTTATCTGTTGCAGAAGCAGTAAGTTTTCTTCTCACACTTTCTCTGCAGTGATGATATATGGAATTTGATACCTGTGTTAACCTTTTGCAAAGTAGAAGAGCGAGTAGTAGTAATGCTTACATTGAAAGTTACAGTGGTAATCTCTTTCAAATAATTGCATGGTTCCAGATAGAGTAAGGTTACGTTCCTAGTGGCATCTATTTATATTTCTTGCATTAGCTAATCTGGAACCGGATGTAGCTGATTACCTGCTGTTTCCATGAATATGATCTCTATCTGTGTTTACTATATTATCAAAGAAGTTATTTTCTTTTTTTAATTGAACAAAAGTAAGGAGCAAAACATGCTTATGGAGGTTACATGGCAAGGGAGTGGCTGAGTCAAATTAAAAACCGGGACATAGTTGCTACATCCTTATGGAAGCTCTTCCTATGATTGTTATTCTTTCTTAAGTACGCCAACTAAATTTTTTTGGCTAGAAAACTGGCTCTATAACGTAACTAACTCCAACCCTCGCAAAAAAAAAAAAAAAAAAAAAACGTAACTAACTCCAACCCCTCGCAAAAAAAAAAAAAAAAAAAAAAAAGAAACTATCTGAGTCGGAAGAGTTAATGTTATGCGTGAGACCACTTTTTTTAATTAAAAAAAAAAAAAAAAAAAAAGACTATCTGAGTCGGAAGAGTTAATGTTATGGTGAGACTTTTTTTAATTAATGTATATCTAGGCATATTTTTTTGGACTTTGCATAAGTGAGTTGTTGAGTTCAAAATAATATTTGTCTTGTAATTATCTAAGTTGGAAAATGGATTGGGTGAGTGCTTGGCTCAGGTATTGATAATAGCTAAGCCATTTGGTCTCCAGAAATTAGACCAACCCCCATAGGTAATCTATTGGTATTGCTTAATTAGGACCATCAGTATCTTAAGTTATTGGTGACCTATCTATCTACTTGTCTGCTATAATTGATTTGTGGATAAATGTGCACTAACAGGATGTTCTTAGGTTTACACCGTCTTACTTTCTATCTGTGAATTGTAACTGCAGCTGCACAAGCCAGTGACAGCTGACGATATGGCTTCTGCATCTATCACTCTGGAGAAGAAGTGCTGAAGACTTAACAAGTTTGGGTAGTTTCTTGTCAGATATCTTGCTACTTCAGCCTTCCTATCCCAGTATAGGTTAATTATATTTTACTTTTAAATAGCAAAATTCTCTCTCCGGTTACACAAACATGGAGACATGTGCATATGTATTTATGTTGTCTACAGTCTATCCAAACTGGGCTGTCTGTAAGGTTAGCCTCTGAACTGAAAATGGATTGTTAATTAATGTAACTGTAGGTTTTGATGATAATGTAGCACGACAATCACTAAGCCCTCTTAGTTACCAAATTACCATCTGTTTTAGTTTTAAGAGTATTATGTTCACATTTTTGTATTCTTTTTACAAAATTTTCTTTATGCTAGTAAAGGAAATTAAATCTATTCGTATACTAAGTACAAGTTCAGACTTTTAGGTTTAGAAGCTTTTTAATTATAATGTGAAGGATATTGTGGTTGAGTACATTAATGGAGATTAGATTTATGAGTCTGGATGAATATGAATTGTTATCATCATCATCATTGTTAATATTATTATTGTTAATGAAAATAATAATAATATTATTATTATTATTTATTATTGTTAAAAGAGTCGGTGTTAATTTAGTTTTAAATGGAGACAACTAATGGGTTTGGTTTCAGTTTTATATACTGCTCAACTGAATTTATTTTACATTCAAAATAGTTAAACTAAGTTGAAATAACCAAACCAGTTCAGTTTAGATCTTATTTAGTGGGTTTTTGGTTAACTATATTCCACCTTTTTTCAGTTATCGGTTAGTGCGGTTTAGAACCGAACTGACCGATGCACAGCCCTAGTGAAAAGGGACTTTATTAAGGAAAAGTGGAAAAAAGGGAGAGTCAAATGGTTTCGTTATGTGCATCATAGACACAATGTGCTAGAATGGAAGGTTAAGAGCATTGAAATTATAGCATAAAAGGAAGTGACGGATAGATCAAGAGTGATGTAGGGAAAAGTGATGGCAAATGATTTAGCAGCTTTGAAACTTTTAAAAGATATAGTTCTAATTGAGTGGAATGGAGTCTATACTAGCATTCTTACTAGGTTGGAACGAAGACTTAGTTGAGTTGGATAGATGAGTATATCCTCAAGTATAAATGGTATACCTGCTACAATCATGCCATTTCAAATATGCCTCCTGAAATTCTGTTGAGCCGCAGCTGTAAGTTTGAATCCTTAGGTTTTATCCTTGCAATTGGGATTTCAAATGACATGTTCTGAATTTGAATGACCTTTATAATGTATAATATTTTCATTTTTCCAATTGGGTTTAGCAATTGAGAATAGATATATGATTCTAGATGAATATTTGTTTAAGGATTAATTTGACATGTTCTGAATTTGAATGACCTTTATAAATTTGACATGTCTGAAATTGAATGACCTTTATGTATAATATTTTCTTTTTCCCAAATTGGGTTTAGCAATTGAGATAATAGATAATGATTCTAGATGAATAATTTGTTTAGAGATAAATTTGGACATGTTTCTGAATTTGAATGAATATTTGTTTAAGGATTAATTTGACATGTTCTGAATTTGAATGACCTTTATAATGTATAATATTTTCTTTTTTCCAATTGGGTTTAGCAATTGAGAATAGATATATGATTCTAGATGAATATTTGTTTAAGGATTAATTTGACATATCTACAAGTTATTTCAAGTAAACCTCTAAAACGTTACTTTTATTATATATGAATGCTCTTATTGTGGGTGCCAATTCCTCGGGCTATAAAAGAAAAGGCGTGTATTGTTTTTGTAGGGTATCTTCAATTCTTGATGAGGGTGACTAGTCCTTAATGGTGTCTGATGATGTTGGATTCTCTTTTACTATCATTTTGTTTACTTCTGATACATTGTATTGAGAACATATGCATGGAATATTCTTATTGAATTATAATTGTTAATGGATTTCTACTGCTTACATATGAAATGAATTGATTTCCTTTTTAGTGGAAGAACTGTAGGAATTAAAATGCGGCGCACACTGGAAATTTATGAATGGGAAAGGAATGTCAAATTTCGGACTTTTGATCTCTTAGGTAAGGAGATATGTATTATTCCTGGGCTGATTGCTTTTCAATAACTGGTAGATGTCCCTTTGGAATTCATATTGTAAAAGTAGTGGTCATACTAGATTGAAGCAAGTATCTTATTCAAGTTGAGCATGGGTTGGCAGTTCCTTAAAAGTATGATACAATTTTGCTGCTCTTTCTTTTCCCTGTTCGAGTGGAGAAGATGGAATATTTCATTCTTGCATAAATAATTCGTTTCTGTCCTTTTCTTTTCACCAAATATATAAAAAGCTTCCCAATTTTACAATTTTAACCTTGTTTGTTTGCAAATTATCAATTTTGGGACACAATAGGTCCTGCAAAATTTAGTGCCACAGACATTTTATATATTTACCCTTTTTTTTTCTTAGAAAGCAATCATTTTCTTTGTAACTGTTAATGTCTTCTCTTCCACATTATTTTTGTTACTCTTTGTTACGTGTATAATTGGGTATACGTATTCCATGCTAAATTTGATTTTCTATCTATTATCTATACTATATATAAATGTGAGAATAGGGAGAATAAAGAGATTTTTGACAGCGCCCTCGATGAAATTTAGAATATCTTCAAATAGCTTTAACTATAGCCAATTCGAATATTACATTTTATGTCAATGAGTGTTTGGATAAGTGGTTCGACACTCTTCTTCCTTATGTGAGGTCAAGGGTTTTACTCATCATGGATGGAGCAAATACTTGTTATGAGCGCTTTATCCCTTCTAGGCTGACCCAATGTTTCTTTTATATAATCTTTTTTAAATAAATTAATTAAATTAATTAACTTATTTATTTATTTTAAATTTGCAACTTAAAACAATAGAGAAACAAAATATTTGAATAAATTCATTAACTGATCAGTATTGGATCCTAGCATGATTTGATTTGTAATTTTCATTCATTGACTTGATTTTGTTTGGTCCATTAAAATCAAATTTAATTAAATTATAGCATTTTCAGAGTTTTTTTTGAAATTCAAATTAGTAATCTTTTTAATATAATTTATTTCTTATTATATATTGAGTTTTTAAAAGAGTTTTATTATTAATAAAATTTGCTATTTTTTTATTTTCTTTTTCGTTATTGAATTAATTTATAACCACTGTCACTTTAATTTAATAAGAGATTTATATGTCCTTTGCAATGAATAGATGGCTTAAGCATTTTTAATTTTCTTGATATTTTTTCTTTTATATCATAAATATATTTGACTTAAAAGAAAATAATGTTTATAAAATTGAAAAAAACTAGAACTATACATTTCTGTTTTGAGCCATTTTTTGGGTTTCAAGAGTTTATGTGTATGTCTATACATTCCTTTCTTTAATTTATTATTGAACTTCTAAGAGTTAAAAACACAAGACGTATGAATAATATTTTAATTTTTAATAATTATAAATTATAATATTATTCAATTAGGAATCTTATTAAAATACCAATTTATTATAGACCACTGATATAAATATTTAATACTTATAGAAAAAATCACCATAACAATTTTGTTTTTCTTTAGCTATAGGGTTTATTATTACATGTCAAAAATTTTTCTTCTTATCATTTTACTTCTTAATTTTAAAGATATTATTTTACTTGAGTTATGATTATTTTTGCTTTCCATATCTTTTCAATCATAAAGTTTTATTTTTTCATTCAATTTTGATTCTTTTTACAATATTTATTCATTTCGTCTACATACATATTATAAATATTTATAGTAAAATATTGACTAAAAAACACCTAATTAATATACTTATTTTTTTATTCAATAATGTATTATCATTTTTATTATATTATAGAAAAAAAATTAATATTAATATACTTATTTTTTTATTCAATAATGTATTATCATTTTTATTATATTATAGAAAAATCAATAAACTATATTTAGAAAAAAAAAATAAAAAAAAAGGTAAGTATAACAAGTTTTAACGACATTTTATTTTTTTATGAAATTTTTTTACTAGTTTTAGAAAAATTTAGATTATTTATTTATAATTTTTGGACATTTTATTTTTTTATGAAATTTTTTTACTAGTTTTAGAAAAATTTAGATTATTTATTTATAATTTTTGGACATTTTATTTTTTTATGAAATTTTTTTAAGAAAAAGAAGTTAGTGAATTTCAATATCAAGTTTTTTAAGAAAAAAATATATAGTTTTTGATATGTGAACCCATAACCTTTAGAGAAAAATTTTATATCTTAACCACATACTAAATTTAGTCTATATAATAAAACTTTATTTTAAAAAAAAAAATTAAAACTGTCCGGTTTGCAGTAGAAAATCATATCAATCATTAGTTCTCGAGTTAATCGGTTTGATTAGCCGGTCAATCTCTTTTTTAAAACTCTGATAAAAATATTGCTTATAATGCTAAGCTTCTACTAATTACTAGATCTTATTTGGCAATAGCTCATGAGTTAGCTTTCCGCATTTTAATGAAATCAATACTATGTATTCACTAATTGTAATGTTTGATAACATAGCTTTTATAATAGATAAATATAGCTTTTATAATAATTTTTAAAATTTGATGAAGCTTTTTCGAATTGTCACTATGTGATAAATTCGAAGCGAATTCAAAATGAAATGGTATCGATCCTTTTCTTGGTAGTAAACTAAATAACTACTATATAGACCAAACAGGTAAAGTATATATTCTTTGGAAAAGCTTTTGATATATAGTATTCACTTTAAAGTGAAAAAGGTTGATGCTATTCTTTTTATGACCCATTTGCTTGATTCTTTCTCCGTCCAAATTTTATCCCATCTCCTTTTTTTTTTTTTTTTTTTTTTTTTTTTTTTTTTTTTTTAAAAATTTTATTTTGTCTTTTAAATTAAATGGTACTTTTTTTTTTTTTTTTTTTTTTTTTTTTTAAATTTTATTTTCTTTTAAATTAAATGGTACTTTTTTGAGCAAAACAGAACATATATAAAGCGCTAAGGCAATTCAATTATCATCTCATTCCTTCCTCCAAACCTATTAAACATTAAACATTTCTGTTTTTTGACCTCTCAAGATGGCATCAAAGCCACATCGCGAGGCTAACTTGAATGCAGTGGAAAAGAAAGAGGTTAGAATTAGATTTTATATACACATTTCTATATATTCATATTTATGCTTTTTATGAATAAATATACTTTTTAAAAATAATTTTACTTGAAATATCGAAGCAAGTATATTAAAAATCCATTTATATTTGAAAACAAATGTGTTCTGTGTATATTTTGGAAACTTTATTGTAATATTTTGATTATGCTTTAATATAAAAATAAATGGAAAATGATATTATATGTTTTGAAGATAAGAGATAGGAAAATAAAATGTGGTTTTGGTGAAAAATAATTGAATTAATTAATCGTCATAATTGCAGAATAAGTGGATTCTTGGACCTCCGGCGCTTAACATCGTATGGGGTAATGACGAGCGCTATTGGAAATTATCGTAAGACTATATTTTCTTACAGTTTTTTTTTTTTTTTTAATTTTATATATTCATATTTTTTTTTAATTATTTTGGTTTTTCTTTCTTTATTTTCAATGAAACACAATAATATTATTTTAAAATATTTCGTGATGAAAATTTCTTACCTACACTTGCAAATGGATTGGCACATCAAGCCAATCAAAAACCCAGTTTCTAAAAACAAGTTTCTTAAAAAAAATTACTGTTTTGTCCTTTTTTTCTGGATGTATAATTAGAAATACCCTTATTTGATTTAAAATACTGTTTGTAATTAATTTGATATACATATGAGTTCATATATTATATACATATAAGTTCATATGCCGGGTATAGATAAATCTTTATTATGCATAATAAAGAGATCTGCAATATACTTTGTCTTAATTGAATACACATTAATTAAAGGATAATTTAATCAATTATTCTCCTTTTTCTACAATGTGATTCAATATATATTTTTAATTTCTTATCAAAAAGTAAAAAATTGTCAAATTTAACTGATGGAGGGAGAAACATAAAAAATTTGACTTAGCCTGGACCTAACTAATTTTGAAAACTGGAATTACAGGCGAGACCAAGCTTCAGCAGAGTTATTACAGGTATGTTGGCTGGAAGTAACAGGTTCAACTAGTGAGAATCTACAAAAAGGGAAGTCGTACGAAATCAAGTTCAAGGTTGAAATGAAAGAAGGAGCCTTTGGATGGAACGGATGTCCTGTTTTCATAATGGCTAAGATAGGAAAGAAGGGCAAATACAAATGGGAAAAGATTGACTTAATTAATTTAGCTAAGGACAAAAAAGGTCAATTTGAAATTCCGGTAAATGGATTGACCGTTGAAGTTCCGGCAACCTACTCCGGCGAAGACACCAAGCTCTATTTTGGTTTGTATGAAGTATGGACCGGTAGATGGAAGGGTGGTTTGGTAATTCATCAAGCTGAAGTTACAATGAATTAACTTTGGTTTCAAACAATTTATAATGCTTAAATTGCAATCTAATAATGTGGGAATAAGTTTATATTTCGACTAAACAGAGAGCGAAAGGTTTCTTTTTTTTGTTTTTTTTTATTAAGGAAATGTGAGTGGGAGTTTAATATCCAATAACAACGAATCGGAATTGGTATTGTTGTACTTTTATAATTATAAATGAATGCTCAAAGCATCATTTTTGCTATTTTTCAACTCTGCTATAAGTTTATAACAACATGTACATTGAACATAATAAAAGTAAAATTATTATCGTTTTTTGAAAAGTATATAAGCAACGTTAGAGTTTCATCTAAAGGAATAAATATATATTTGATCTCTGAACTTGTTTAGTAAGATTAAAAATGTCGGATTTGATCTTTTGGACCAATTTAACCCTTGAACTTGTATAAAATCATTAAAAAGATTCATTTTCACTTTTTAATCTGATTTAACCAGTGAATTTATATAAAATGATTAAAAAAATCATGTTTAACATTTTAACTCAACTTAACCTTTAAATTCTTCGGTGTACTTACAATGAAGAATAATATATGAAGTATATCATATAGAAAAATGATATATAAAAATATACTGTATCTCTCTTTACCTTGATTGATGGTTTTAAGATTAGAAGATCAAGCTTTAAGTTTTTTTTTTTTTTTTTATCAAGCTTGAAACATGAACTCCAAATGCCTATAAAGATGTTCAGACTCCAAACACTTTTAGAAGCCTATTCCTTAGCCAAATTACAATAATTGACAGTATCAGCAATTCATCAGAAACCTTAACCAACAAGTACCCCTTTATCAAACCTTACTTCCAATAACTACTCACTCCAACTTCAATCACAATAGTTCCGGCTTATTTTCATCTGTTGTCTCTAAAATATATTTATATTTTTTAATTGTTCTTATATTTTAATTTATCACTTAAAAATATATAAACTTTTATTAGAGTAACACAAAAATTTATTTTCCGATTTTGAGGTTGACAAACGGTAAATTTGCTAACGTGAAAAAGTTTTTACCGTGATAAATGTTTTTAACATAATAAATGAAAAAAAAAAAAGTAAATGTCAAACTACGGAAAATTGAGTCATTTTTTCTCTCTCATCTCATTCGTTTGTCCTTTTGTTCTTTCTTCTTCTACTGTCCACAATGTCTTTTTCTTTTTTTTTTTTTTTTTTTTTTTTTTTTTTTTTTTTTTTTTTTTTTTTCTTTTTTTTTTTTTTTTTGTTTTTTTTTTTTTTGTCAATTTTTCTTCTTGATAAGCTTTTATCCATGATTTTAACAAATAAACCTCAACTCCTCATGCACTTGCCTTTTGATTTTTCTTCAACATTCCTATTCTTTCTTACTATCAATTTTTTCCAGAAAATAGAGATAATATTTTTTTTTTTTTTTTTTTTTTTTTTTTTTTGTCATTTTCTTCTTGATATGCTTTTATCCATGATTTAACAAATAAACCTCAACTCCTCATCACTTGCCTTTGATTTTTCTTCAACCATTCTATCTTTCTTACTATCAATTTTTTCCAGAAAATAGAGATAATATTGCAAAAGTTAAAAGACTTATCAATGGCAGTGTTAGATTGTATTAGTATTTTATACATAATTTATTTGGTTAACCTTATTTAGATTAAAATAAATTTATGTGATTTTATTTAAAATCTTTATGATTTTTTGAAAAATCAATTCAAATTTAAATTAAGGTTAAAAATTAAATTAGTTTTTCTAATTTGTATAATTACTAATTAAAAATTATCATATATTTAAAGGCGTAAAAACTTTTTAATTGAGATACTTAATGGATGAAATGTCAACTTTTAACTTAAAGAGAGTACTTCATAAAAGTTTAAATTTTTAATTAAATATATATGACCTTTTTATTAGAATTATTTTAAATTTCTAATCTCTACTTAGCTATATAAAATAAAGAAATTCTTAAAAGTATTTAACTTAAGATATTTATTAAAAGCCAGCAAATCACTGCCCATCCTCTCTTTTCTTTATGATAGAATGGGCAAGAGAGACGGTGTGACCTTTTGTGGGCAGGAGAGAGAGCACATGAGAGAGACAAATTTTTCTCGTGTAATTTTTTAATTTACTCATCAAGTGATAAAGTAATGCAACATCAGTATTTAACCGGGCTGTGACCAAGAAACGGGTTAATAATCTTTTTTGTTATTCCAATAGTAATTTGTGTAATTTTATGTGACGAATTAAAGCATATGGACAATTAAGCAATAGCCCTATAATTTACGTACCACAAGCGAAAATAAATCCAATAATTCCAATTATACTAATACATATAAGCCTATTATCTAAAATCAATATCCCAATACCATTTCAAGACCAAATCAAACCTTATCAAAAACCAACATGGGTTGTTACCTATACCTAACTTGCCTAGATCGACCCAACCTTCAAAATTTCCAACAACCTTAACCAGTAAAGAAATGGACAAGAAAGAGCCAAGAAACTTTGCTTTTGGTGTGATGAGAAATTTCAATCGGGCATAGATGCAAGAAAAAGCAGCTATATGCACTGCAAATGAAAGAAGTGATTAATGCAGATGAAAGTGAATTCACATATTGTATTGAGGAGTTAGAAGATCCAATATTGGATAATAAGATAATATAAGGTCAATTATCTCTCAATGCCTTTTGGGGAACAGACAGCAACCAAACAATGATGTTGAAAGTAATATAGGAAAATGAAGCTACATACGCTCATTGACACATGAAATACACACAACTTCCTCAATGAGAAAACATCATAGAAATTATATTAGCTTATTACTAAAATTACAGGACTACGGGTGGAGGTGGCTAATGGCCAAGAGTTCCAATGCAATTCCATATGCAAGCAATTCAAAGGGAAATGCAATAACAAAGTTCTACAACAAATGTGTATGTGCTGCCTCTAGAGGGTTATGACTTAATTTTAGGAATTCAATGGTTGAAAACACTTGGAGATATCAATTGCAATTTCAATGATCTTACCATGAAGTTCAATTTACATGGGAAATCATACTTCTTACAAGGGGAACAATTTTTCAAGTCATTCTAATCCCTCAATGTACTTATAATAAAACAACCAAAGTTTGTCTTAACTCATAAAGTCCTATAGTCTGCTATGCTCTCTATATGTTAAATCTTTCATTAATCGAGGAATGGGTTGACCATCAAAAATTACTTAAAGAGTTTGAAGATATGTTTCAGGAACCTAAAGGGCTACCATCACAGAGGCTACATGACCATAAGTTCCCCCTCAAACCCGGTTCACAACCAGTTAACATTAGACCATATAGGTATGTTGTTGAACAGAAAACTGCCATTAAAGAAATAATTAAGGATATGTTAGCTAATGGATCATTAGAAATAATAGTAGCCCTTATGCGAATCTAATTGTTTTGGTTAAGAAGAAAGACAATACTTGGAGGACGTGCATTGATTATAAAGCACTCAATAACATCACCCTTAAAGATAAATTCCACATACCCTTGATTGATGAGCTTTTAGAGGATTTTTTTTAGGGGGGGTGGTGTGGTATTTTTCAAAATTGATTTGAGATCAAGTGATTGGTAAGTAAGGATGTATGAAGAAGATATACGCAAAAATGCCTTTAAAACTCATGACGGGCATTATGATTTTTTGGTTATGCCCTTTGGCTTAACCAATGCTCCAACAACTTTTCAGTCCTTAATGAATTTAGTTTTTAAAACCTTTCTAAGGAAATTTGTATTGGTTTTATTTGATGATATACTGATTTACAGTAAAAGAAAGAGCTCTACTTACAAGAGTTGCAATTGGTGTTGCATACTATACGATAACATTAGTTATGTGCTAAGCTTACCAAGTGTCAATTTGGAGAACAACAAGTGGAGTACTTAGAGCACATAATAGTTGCTGATGGTGCTCATACAAATCCAAAAAAAAGGTTAAGGTAGTGCAAAATTGGCCTTTACCTTAGAATATAAAACGTTTGAGAAGCTTTTTGGGCCTCACTTAGTACTATAGGAGATTTATGAAAAATTATGAAAAACTTGCCAAGCCTTTAACTAAGCTATTGATACAGAGATCCTTTATATGGAATTCAACTGCCGAGAGTTCCTTTCAAACTTTGAACTAAGCAATGGTTCAAGCCCTAGTGTAATCTCTTCTAGATTTCATAAAAACATTTGTTGTAGAAACTGATGCATCAGGGGAAGACATTGAACCAGTGTTTATGCAAGAAAAGGCATCCTTTAGCCTATATCAGTAAGGTTTTATCTCCTAAAAACCAAGTATTCTCTACCAATAAAAAAGAATTGTTAGCTATATTTTTGCTACAAAGCATTGGAGTCACTACTTACTTCATAGGCATTTTATGATCAAAACCAATCATAAGAGTCTAAAGTATGCATTAGAACAAAAAATTGTAACTCCAGCCTAACATACTTGGTTATTGAAGCATCAATCTTTTGATTACAAGATACAATATAAGAGGGGCCAAGAAAATCAGGTTGCAGATGCTTTATCAAGAATTCCCTTTACTAGCATTCTCGCTTTAACTACACACATGCTTTCTATTGAGATATTTACTATTATTTAGGATATTTGGACCATAAGTCCTATGCCACAAAAACTTATTTCTGAGTTACAACTTAACCTAGGTTCTCATTCTAAATATAAGTGGCAAGATGGGGTATTAAGAAGGAATGGGAAACTAGTTATGGACAATGATAATGATTTAAACCTGAAACTTTAGCACCTCTATCATGATTCAGCGATTGGGGTCATTCAGGAGTTTTTACAACTTATAGGAGGTTGGCCCTAGTTGTTTAATGGGAAGGGTTATGAAGGTTTATAAAAAATTATGTCAAAAATTGTCAAATATGTTAGCAGGTTCAGTCTGAAACAATTGTTGTGTTAGGAACCTTGCAACCTTTACCCTTACCACATGGATTCTTTGCTTATATAACCATAGATTTATAGAAGCATTAACAAAGTCTCAAGGCAAGATTTCCATTTGGTTGTAGATAGATTAAGCAAATATGCCCAGTTCATAAGACTTGTGAATTCTTTTTATGCTAAAACTGTGGCACAAACATTCTTAGACAATGTTTACAATCTACATGGCCTACCTCTCACAATAGTTACTAATAGGGATGCAATCTTCACAAGCACCTTTTAGCAAGAGTTTTCAAACTTTAGGGGGTTGGATTACACTT